CCCATAGGGGAGGGCGGGGAGACTGATAAGACTTTAAAAACTGGGGAAAGAAAATTTGGACAAAAGGTTTTCCCAGGGAGGGGAATGCAAGAGGAAAATTGGAAAGTTTGAAACAAAGAGTCAGGAGAAGTAAAATTATTTTCCGTTGGGGGGCAGTGGAAAAGCCAGAAATGACTAGGGAGGCAAGGAAAAACCAAATATTTTTAAGAGATTTTGTAAAGTCTAGGGGGGAAGGAGGGAATAGCCTGAAAGGCGGGGAGGGGGGAAACCCCCCCTAACCAAAAAGGTGATAAATTTAGGGGGAAAACAACAACCAAACCCACAACCACCCCAACCACAACAACAAAAACACAACACAACACACACACACACACACACACACAACACCAACACAACCCCACCCACCCCTTCACTCCTCACACTTCACCCCCTCTCACTCTTCACACTTCACATTTCTCTCTCTCTTCTCCCTCCCACTCTCTCACACTTCACACTCTCTCACACTCTCCAACTCTCCACATTTTAACTCTCACACTCTTCACATCTCTCCCCTTTTCATCTCTCTCCCTTCTCTCCTTTTCTCTCTCCTCTCTCTCTCTTCTCTCTTTTCTCTTTCTCTCTCTCTCTTTTTTTTTTTTTTTTAAAAGGGGTTTTTGACAAGGTTAAGGCCCTAGCTTTATTGACAGCTATTTCGGTTAAGGATTCCAAACTTTTTGGCAAGTAAGAGCTGTTCCCTACATCAGCTCTTTTGAAAGATTTTTATTTTTATGAGCATCAAGTGGAAAAGGATAAAATTTGGGAGCATCTGGGGGGGCCAGCATTTTCTTTTGATCAATGACTTTACTCGTTGACTTTCATTATCCTGTCGAATGTGTTCCATACTCGAGTCCCTGGGTAGTTGATCTCAGATGGGTGATGTTTGGAGAAGGGTACAGCCAGAGTGAAGTTGTGCTTTCTGCCCATTTGGGATAAAGCTTGTTTTTCCCCTGTCCCGAAGTGGATCCAAATGTGGTGTTTTGACAAAATTGGCCTTGACTAACGTAAGGCCCCCACATCCCTCCCCTCTCTCTCCTCTCTGTCTCGTCTCTGTCTGTCTCTGTCTCGGTCTCTCTTCTCGTTCTGTCTTCTGTCTCTGTCTTCTGTCTCGTCTCTGTCTTCAAATTGACTAACAAGCACTTTATTGCATAGAATTACAAGGTGATCTAGTAGTGTAAAGAAATCATTTTTTTTTAACTTTTTTATTGGTCCCCAATTGCTGGGTATATAATATGGGTTTAGTGCTTTTAGGAGAGTAAAAATATTAAAAATAAAATCTTTTAATGTTGTAATTTTTTTTTAATTTTTAAACTCTGCATTCCCCATTTTGGGAACAGAGTGAGAATAAACTTGAAAGCCAGAATTGGGGTTTTTTTATGCTAGTAATAAAAGGCCCAAAAAAAGAGTTTACGTTGTTGTATTTGTTGAAAACTTGATCTTGATCTTGTTTCTTGCAAAAATTAAGAAAAATAAAAGGTTTAAAATAAATTTTTTATTTAATGAAGAAAAAAATCACTGGGCGTTCAAGCTGTAATTTTTGATAATTGGATTGTGGGAAGTTATCTATTTTTTGTCCCATATAACTTTTCCCAAAGCACTGTTCTTATTTCTTATATAACTTTTTTTACCATTTTTGTGCTGTTCCATTTTACTCTTTTCCCTAAATAAAGTGTTATACACATGACTTTTCAGATTGTGCAGTTAAATTGTCATGAGGTCTAGAGTTTGTGTTAATTGCCCCAGGACCCTTTTAGGAGCCAAAAAAGAATCTCTGGGGCGCTATATTTCCAACTTTAGCCCCATTCAACCCTTCCTGTCCCGCACAAGTCGGTGACATGAGTCAGTAAAAAAAAAAAAGGCTTTCATTTTTTTTTTGCATACACCTAAAAAAGTTGTAGTGGTTCGTGACATCAGATGTGGTAATAAATGGGTATAATTTTTACCATAATTTTTAAAGGGTGGAGTGGTTAAACCGCAGAAGGCCTCTTCGATGACCAAAAACTCCAAGGCTGGTCATCCTTTACTAAGGCTTTTTTCAGGAAACATTGTCCTGTTTCCTGTGAAGTTAACTAACCTCAGTAAGGCAGCGTAATTAACCCCTTTTGGGTCCCCGGCCCTCTCCCAAAATTGTTTCAGGGTTTACCCAAAATTTTAAAAAAAAAAAAAGAAATTTTATGAAAAGATAGAGAAACCTTTTCCCAATCTAAAGACACCAAAAGTATGAAAATTTGATGGAAAACTTTTGGAATTAGCTTCGCGAATTAGCGGTCTCGACGATTTTACGCATCGGGATTTTGCCCTTTGGCCCTTTTTTCGGCCAATTCCAGTGTTAGTCGACAAAAATCATAACTATTTCGCTAGAACTCCCTTTTTTCTATCGAAAGAGTACAAGAAACACCCATTTACCCATTTCAACTATCCAATACATGGTCGATTTATCAATTTTGCCCTTTACAAAATTTCAATAGATGCCCAAATTTTCCCAAATGTTCCAGTAAACAAGAAAGGGGCATTCCTGGCACTAAAAAAAATTTCCTCTGTTCATTAGTCACGTCCCCATGCCCCTCTTCATTCTTTTTTCTTTCCAATTTTTTAATTTTTATTCTCAAAAAAAATAGAGTTTATGTTATGCAGACTACTGCATTAGTGTACTGAAATGTCATAAAATAATAATCAGCGCACTTGTGAAAGAATATTAGACTCACAGTTGACGTGTATTGGGACGCGTATGGCATGATTTGTTTACTTTCGAACTTTGGTAAAAATCTAAAATTTCTGCTACCTTTGAGCTCATTTTCAAGGTACTTTTCATTGTAAAACCAGTCGAAATCATCTCAATTTCTGTAAGATGTCTTCCATTCTATAAATGAGACCAGGAAAACTAGAATTACAAAAATAATACATACGATAATACAGTGCAAAGTTGATGTTTGAATCACAATACACGGTCAAAGTTTTCTTTTTCTCATTACGCCAGTGCTGCAGGATTTTTTTTTTATACTGTGCACATGAACACATAGACCCATTCTTTCATATGTAGGCCTACCAGCTTTCTCTACTAGATTTGAGGGCGCTAGAATTTCAGCGTACTAGTAGTCAAAAACCTGAAAGGTTAAAATGTCACAGGCCTTATTCCACTGTCCAAGTTTGCTCTAGTAAAAGGCACAGAATGATCCAGGTAATGTTCACAAATCCCCCCCGAAAAATTTTTGGTTTTGGTTAAGTATGTTCATAAAAAAATAATTCAAAAAAATTTTACTTTGTGGAGTACGTTGGGAGGGCCCATAGTCGTGGCCTCTGCTAAGGTTTTGCCCGACTGATGTGTAGCTTCCTTTCTCTTTATAACACATTGTAAATTCATATTGTAGATTTTCAGATATGTTCACACCTATAAATGATTGAAATTTAACTACAACATGACTCAAAATTAAAAATATTTTTAGGCAATGAATAATTGATTTATAATGT